AAGTTAATTTTTTAGTTTAAATAGAATTTAGTGGGAAAAAAAACACACACACAAGCAAAAAAAAGAGATTTTTATTGATAAATCCATTCTAGAGTTGTTATAACCCATTAGGTCCACAAAAAAATATAATAACCTGATTAGTCCCATAAACTTTTCTTCTTATTCCATAAGGTCCATTTTTCTAATTTAACATATTTTCCTGGACTATTTTGCCCCCATATATATATATATATATATATGTGTGTGTGTGTGTGTGTACAGTGTTATACCTATTTACATATTACGTGCCTGTTTACGTGGCTGTTTCCTCGCTGATTCAGTTTAGCAGTTTCCATTTTACGTTTTTCTTCATCAATCCAATTCCAAGAGATACGTTTATGTTTTGCATACTCGTTCGAAGGATTGGTGGTGCTAGGGTTTCATTGTTGGTGTTCTAGTATGGTTCTGTGGTTTGCAAGTGAAGATGACGAAGAGGTAGCTGTTCGGCTGTCACATTTTCCGAGCTTTAAGTAGTTCGAATCAGTTGTGTTCGACTTTCTGGAGGATTGTAGGATTGCATGGTTAAGGTTAGTATCAATTTGATTATGAATACATGTTCAGTTCATTTGTATGATGAAGCAGATGCTCTGTTTTTGGATTGATATGAATTGGATGTGCTGGTTTTTCAATTATATGCTTCTTACGTGGTCCTGTGAAGGGGAGTACATTCATATTATGTGAAGAACAGTGTTAGTTCTCATTTTAGTTGGATGTATGCGTAATGAGGATCTGTGTAGATGATTTGATTATCAGTATATATGTCAATATGGATGTTAACAATTTGTTAATGTGGATTATGTGAAGAATATGGATGTTCTCATTTGAAATTGATGTTTGCTGAATGAGGCTCTGTGTGTGTCATATAATTTAGAGTGTCTGTGTCAATGTAAATGTTCACATCGTGCGAATATGATGTGAAGATTGTTGATTTTCTCATTTTACTTTGATGTTTGCTTAATGTTGACATGTTGTTAACAACAATGTGAATGTTCACATCTTTGTATTTGTGAATTATGGATTTAGCACCTGAACTGTACACGTAGTAATTTTTGATTATTTGCACAATGTGATTTTTCATGTCGATTTTGATTAAATGTGTAGTTCTCATTTTACTTGGACGCATGCGTAATGAGGATCTCTGTAGATGATTTGATTATCAGTATATTAATTGATAGAGAAATCGAGTTTACAGTTGATGTTGAGCCAGAAACCCAACCAATTTCGAAGATTCCTTACAGAATGTCGCCAATAGAGCTTAAGGAATTGAAAATTTAGTTGCAAGACTTATTAGATAAAGGTTTCATCTAACCTAGCACTTCGCCCTAGTGTTCACCAGTTTTATTTGTGAAAAAGAAGAATGGAACTCTTCCTTTGTGTATTGATTACAAACAGCTGAACAAGGTGACTATTAAAAACAAGTATCCACTGCTGAGAATTGATGACTTGTTTGACCAACTTCAAGGGGCACAAGTTTTCTCCAAGATTGATCTTAGATCGGGGTATCATCCGCTCAAGGTTAAAGCAGAAGATGTTGGGAAGACGACGTTCAGAACCAGCCATTACGAGTTTTTAGTTATCCCATTTGGGGTTACCAATGCTCCAGCAGTATTTATGGACCTAATGAATAGGATTTTCAATCCTTATCTGGATGAGTTTGTAGTAGTATTCATTGATGATATTCTGGTTTACTCTAAAAATAAGGGGGACAATGAACAACATTTAAGATTGATCCTTCAGACTCTTAGAGATAAACAATTGTATGCAAAGTTGAAGAAGTGTGAATTCTGGCTATCTAGTGTGACATTTTTGGGCATGTTATTGATAAAGAAGGTATTTCCATCGATCCCCAGAAAATTGAAGCAATAGTAAATTGGCCAAGGCCCACTAATGTTACAGAAGTTCGGAGTATCCTCGGTTTGGCAGGTTATTATAGAAGGTTTGTCAAGGATTTCTCCAAACTAGCAGTGTCACTTACCCAACTGACACAGAAAGTAACACCATTTGAGTAGACGGAAGAGAGAGATTCTGCCTTTCAAGAACTAAAGACTGGGCTGATTACAACACCAATTTTTATTCTACCATCGGGTACAGAGGGGTTTGTTATCTATAGCAACACATAACACAAAGGATTGGGATGTGTTTATTGACTATGATGCGAGTAGTCAACAGTTTCGTCGTTTCTTTGTGTCATTCGCTGCGTGTATTTCTGGGTTCAATTCTTGTCGGCCTTTATTATTCTTGGATGGAACATTCCTCAAAGGCAAGTACAAAGGTCAGCTACTTGCGGCAACAGCGAAAGACGGAAACAATGGTTAGTAATTTTTTTACCTTTATATTCGTGTCAATATTCACATTGACATGCATAGTATGGACAAATGAGTGATGGAGAAATTAATCTTCCAATTGTGTTTCACATTAGTATGCACTGATGTGAATGTTCACATCTGTGTCTGCTGATGCCTGTAATGTGAACATTCACATTATTTTACACTGATCCATTCACAGTATTGTACATCTGTGCCTGCTAATGATAGTTATGTGAACATTCACATTCACATCAGTGTATACTACTGTCAGTTGATCTGTTAATGAGCATTACTGTGATTGGTCATATTATCAGTTGCTGAACAATCAAAAATGAATTATTGATGGGCGTTAATGTGAATGTTCACATTATCAATTGCTGAACATTCACATGACCTGTTTCGTTTATATTGTTTTCTATTCATTTTGGAGTAATGTGAACGGTTGTGTATTGGTGTTGTGTTGTAGGTCTGTTTCCTGTTGCATTTGCGGTTGTTGATTCGGAGACCACGGCGAATTGGTCGTGGTTCTTGCATGAACTTGGGAAGGTTGTTGATGGTAACCGCCAGATTACTTTTATTTCGGATCGTAATCTTGGCCTGTTAGAAGCTATGCCGAAGGTGTTCCCATCGGCTCATCACGGTTATTGCTTACAACAATTGAAGAACAATTTAAGAGACTGGATGAAAGGAATTGATAATGGCTTCAGGGATCACCTAGTAAGTAGTTTGGGTGATTGTGCTTATGAGCCAACTGTGGTAGGGTTCCATGAAAAGCTTGCAAAATTAAAAGAGGAGGGTAAACAACGAGCACATGATTTTTTCAAGGACTTGGCACCTGAGCACTGGGCAAATTCATACTTCAGGTAATAACAGTTTCATAAAATGTTCTATTGGGCAAGTTAGAATGGTAGCGATGTGAATTATCAGTTAGGATTTGTAAAAATCTTCCAATTGTGTTTCATGTTCAGTGTCAGTGATGTGAATGTTCACATCTGATAGTAATGACTGATTTGAATGATGTGAATGTTCACATCCGTTGTCATATTTTGCTGTTGTTAACATTCACATCATTCTGTCATTTAAGTCGATGTTAGTGTTCACATCTGTGCATTGTGTAAGTTGATGTTAATGTTCCTGCGAATGATGTTAATGTTCACATCAGTCAACGTGAATGTTCAAACCTGTTAACTTTCGTGTTGTAAAATGTTTGTGATATTGTGCAGGGGCATGCGTTATGGGGAGATGACTTCCAATGCGGCGGAGTCATTTAATAACTGGATTAAAGAAGCGCGTAATCTTCCTATCACTCAAATGGTGGACACAATTCGTACTCAGTTGATGCGGCAAATGCCTGCACGGCGTGACCAAGCAAACAAATGGAATGAGCTTATTTGTCCTACATTTGAAACAAGGCTTATGGATTCGTTCAATCACAGTAGGTCTTGGCAAGTTAGCAAAGCCAATGAGAATGTGTTTGAAGTTCATTCGATACCATCTGTTACTGTTGATGTTGCGAGGCGTACATGTTCGTGCTTCAAATGGCAAATCAACGGATTCCCATGTGACCATGCTGTTGTTGCCATTCAGAAGAGCCACTACAATCTTAATGATTGTGTGAAACATTACTTTCATGTACAGACATATCGTGGAGCGTATTCGGGTGCCATATTCCCTATACCATCGGTGGAGAAGCCGCCTTTTGATCCCATGGACTTCACTATATACCCGCCAACTGTGAAAAGACCACCCGGAAGGCCGAAAAAGAATAGGATCCCATCAAGGGGTGAGAAACTTAAGCAAATACGGTGCGGGAGATGTGATAAGCTGGGGAGCCATAATCGGAAGTCATGCAGGGAGCCGATATAGGATGTACATTTTTCATTTTAACGTTGTGTTTTACATTGGATTCTTATATTCATTTCTGAAATAAGATTGTGTTGTGTTGGCAAGCAAAATAATGGTTTGGCAAACTTAGTATTTCATTTGTGCTTTTTCATTTTCTTTTTCTGTATGAAACTGATTTTTTGTTAAAGTTGTAATGATAAATACATGATGTGGACATTCACACTTACGTAAACGAATCATATTATGTGAAAACTTGCACATGTGTTGGACGTTTTTACTTTATTGTTGTCAATGTTGACATGAATATAAGTTGTGATGTGAACTTTCACATGCATGAAGATTGGCATGGTGTGAACATGTACAACTGTTATGAATGTAAAGAAATGAGAATATTCACACCTGTTCATGTTACCCGTAATGATGTCATGCAAACAATGTGTACATTCCTGCACAAGGTATGTGTATTACATTAAAAACTGGTTCCACAAATCGCATCAAATATGCTCATCAAAACACGGCATTATGAATATCATAAGTGAGTATGAACATTCACATCAGTGTTTACAATTGCTATGAGCAACCACAAATGTGAATATTCACACATGTGTATGTGATCCGTAATTATGTCACGTAGACCAAGTGTACACTCCTGCACAAAGTATGTGTACTAAACAACAGTCAGGTTCAAACATTCGCAGAAATTTTTCTCACAACAACACAGCAGTATGCATATCGTACGTGACTGTGAACATTCACATTAGTGGAACAACTGTGGACATTCACATATGTAAAACATAACAACACCAAAAGTAGTTCAAAATTCGCAGCTGCCTTTTTCCTATTAACAGATGTTGTATCACTGTTTTACAATCAGTTGCTGTGTCAAAATATCAACGCATTCCATATTAACATTCAAATCGACTGTTGGTTAGTTCGTAGGTGGACACCCCCCACCTATAGGTTTTAAGGAAGCTCTGATTTCTTATGATTCAAAAAACTATGCACTAACAAATCTCGTAGTCCACACCATTCTGCACTACTGAGGCTGCCCACAATTTCTTCATGATATACGTGCGCCCGCATGATGTAACATACTGCAGGTCCGCAGTCCACTCTGTAAATGCGAAATGGTTTTGATTAGCAGTTGACAGGAATATTTGCATAATGGTTGTGGAGGATTTGAAAAAAAATTTAGTGAGGCTTACGAGTCATCGCCTTGTTGAGGACAGACATCAACACTTTTGGTTGGTTGTGCTGGATTTTGGCCTGCTAACTTAGTGTGTAGCGGTGATGACTCGCCAATAACGGTCACAACATGCTCAATGTAGTTCCTCTGTGTATGGAATTTCACATTAGGCACCAACAAACATATGTGTGTGTACAGTCATTTAATGCACGAGAACAAGTCATGTTTGTGTTGAAAAATGGCCACTTACAATTTCCTGTGCTTAGTCGATATGCGGGTCATGTATGCTTGTTCTTGGGCGCAACGAGTTGTAATGCTTCCACAAATTGTCTTTAACATCATACACAACTATCGTCCAGTGGTACTCATGATGCAATGGGAATAGTAGGTATCTCTCTCCTTGGTAGTTTTTGACATGTGCGTCAATGTGTTTACTCCTTTTGCGAGGACGGTACTCTCCTATCACTTTCTGTACACATTTGACAAATAATTAATGGACTGTGAAGTTTTACAGTCACATTACAAGTAATGGAATGATAGATTTTACCAAACACATGCTCGTGAAGATCAATGAGGCTTCATCCGAAGTTGGGTTGACCACATCTTGTTGTTCATGCAACAGTTCAGCATATGCATCTATGAGCTGCACAAACATGGGGTCATATTATATAGATTTTGTGGATGTGAGTATGTGTGTGTGTGTGTGTGTGTGCATATGCATGAAGAGTGAATTATATTTGTAATGGCATACATTGCTGTGTATTGATTCCTCCTTGATAAGGTTGACAATGTCATCAAAATACACATGTGTAGCCTTCGAATCTCCTTTCCACATCAGCAGCCTGTGCATTATTAACAAACCAATGTAAATATTCACATTGCATATATCTCAACAAACCAAAAAAACTGAACATAGTGAGGAATATAGACTATTACGGAATGTGAATGTTAACATTGGATGTTTGCACAGTCACTTACTCATCGCCTCCATTTTTTTGTAAAGCTTGGACCTTTTGTTTGTCATGTTTGGACATCTTGGCCCAGACTTTGAACTTGTTGGTAAAGGATAATTTTTTTGGCTGCTTCGCTGGTGGGTGTTTCTCCACATCTTCAACCATTTCGACTGGATGGGGCTGCTTTTGGCCAGGTAAGTCTGGGTATTGGAAGTTAGGCAGGCGATGTTCTTTGCGATCTTTTTCCTTTATACGCTTGACCCTAGAAAGTGGGCTGATATTGTGTTGCATTGGGCTAGGGGGTTGCCTTTCTGACATAGCTTGTGTGACAATGTGGACTGACTGGTCATCGTAAAGATCCTGAAGAATTGTTTTATCGCATTCTAAGTCGATGACCAGCTGCGTTAAGCGTTTGATTTCTTTATCCTTCTGCTCCATGCACTTCTTCATTTCGATATTCACGTTGGGCGGGCTGGACTGGTTAAACAATCTATGTTCAAGATCAGCTATGACTCTTGCCCTCAACTCCCATGAAAATTGAAGGTGTTTGTACTTTGCTTCCCATTGCCTTATGACGCCCCAAGCCTTCCGATTTTCTTGGATAAGCACATCAATGATATCAGGTTGGTTTGTGTCTGGTATTACAATAGCTCCGTCATAATGTTGGCTGCTAAATGGAATGTGAATGTCCTCATCACTGTCCTTCAGGTCTACCCCATCCCCAGAAAAGTGGGAGTTGCTTCCACTGTGTTGTTCTCCCTTGATGTCAGAAAGGTTGGGAGATGTTCTGCCTGGTTCATAAATTTCAGGCTCCACCTTCAATGTTTTACGCTTGAACTTTTGTAATTCTGTTGGGATTGCAAAGAGTTCACCGGCATTAACCTGAAAATGAAAAAATTATGTTACTTAACGCATATATTTGGGTGGTGTTATAATGTGAATGTTTTGATCACTAGTTGAAGGCCCTACCTCATTAAAACCCAAATCTGCTAAAGAGATGGTTTTCATCTTCTTCTGCAAAGCAGTCAGATCCCACTTCACACAGCGAGGAAAAACATTGGGTCTGTGAGGTGGGAGGACGGTTGTGTGCTCACATAACCAGTACTTCAATAAAACAAGAAACGCATATTGTTATTTAGCATTTGCAGAGTAATGGCAACCTATGTGAACATTAATCACTGTGGCATTGTTGTGAACATCCCAGTAGTACATTATCATTGAATGTGAACATTCACATCTGCGAATCGTGAGTGATGTGGCACTGTTGTGAACATTCACAGAAGTATGTTATGAGTGAATGTGATCAGTCACATTCACTGCTTCAGATGTGAACATTCACAGTAGTGAAAACATAATTGCCTACAGAGCAGTGTGGTAAACATTCACAGTGGCACATTATCATTGAATGTGAACATTCACACTGTTCACATTTGAATCACTGATGTGAATGATGACAGAAACATAAGTGCTGTGGCACTGCTGTGAACATGCACAGTAGTATGTTATGAGTGAATGTGATCAGTCACATCAGTGGTTCAGATGTGAACATTCACAGTAGTGAAAACATAATTGCCTACGGAGCAGTGTCGTAAACATTCACAGTAGTATATTATGAGTGAATGTGGACATTCGCATCAGTGATTCAGATGTGAACATTCACATCTGTGAAATATAATTGCCTACGGACATTCACATCAGAGTTGCAGATGCCAATGTTCACAGTTGGCTTAGATGAAAAACAGTGGAGGACATGTCAATGTTATTATTTGAAAACATGGGTACTTACCATCAATAACATGACACAGCCGGTGACTTTTGCTGGATTTTTGTCATTTTGGGAAATAGACGATGTCAACATTGTCCTAATTTGCTTGGCCCAATCATATTCTTGCATGCTTTCCAGTGGGACCATATGTGCGTAGTAGCCCCATCCTATTGTCTCTCCGCTTGTTGAGAAAAAAAGCTTCTGGCAAGCATACATGCACACTAGTCGGGCAACTTCTTCGTTGTCATCTTTCTTTTTTCCTTTCAATGCCTCGGTCAAAAGGGTTTGTATCCATTTTGAAGTCAATTGGCTGACGTTTTTGCATCTTCTGTTTACAATGCCAGTCTTTGGTTTCGCACCGTATGATATGTCCATTGGCTTGCTGCCACAGTCCACACCAAAAATCAGCTTGATGTCGCTGTTATGTATTTTCATCTTCTTCTGCCCAATGTAGAAGGCATCTTCTGAAGCTTGGTACATTTGTAGTACATGCACAACAACATCATCATACTTCATGCATTTATCCAGGTCGATTTGATTGTTTCTCAATGCATCAAACAAATTCCAAAAAGGTGTTTGTCGAAGGCACCGAAGCTGTGCTTCTGTGAACTTGGTGGTTTTCATTAATTTGACCAGTCCGGTCATATTAGATCTGTAGTTCACATGGCACATGTCGACATTGGTGCAAGTATTTGTTTTTGGGATTTCTTCCTTCACATGGGACTCATTTCTTTTTCTCTTTCCGGTTTTCTTGTGTGCGACATCTGCAAAATGGAGCATTTAAAAAAAAATTAAGTGAAGGCTCATGTGATTAGCATAGTGGAACAAATGTGAACATTCACAGCATTTCCACTGATGTGCATGTTCACAGTTGTGTGCGTGGGTGTGAGTCACCAGAGTGTGTGTGGTTGTGAACATTCACATAGGTACATGAATGTGTATTTCGACTATGTCACGACAAACACAATGAACATATCGTGTCAGTGTGTGGTAAACAATGCATTTTTATACAACCATGAACATCGTTGAAGAGCATGTATAAAATTTTCATGCAATGTGAATGTTCACAGCATATAAGAGCAGCACCAATAATATCTGATTGTCCTAAAATCTTCAGGCAATGTGAATGTTCACAGCATAGAACAACAGCACCAATAAAATCTGACTCTCTTAAAATTTTCAAGCAATTTGAATGTTCATAGCCTAGAACTACAGCACCAACAATATCTGACTATCCAAAAATTTCCAGGCAATGTGAATGTTGACAGCATAGAACAATAGCACCAATAATATCTGACTCATCTAAAATTTTTCAGACAATGTGAATGTTCACAGCCTAGAGCAAAAGCACCAATAATATCTGATTGAACTAAAACTTTCAGGCAATGTGAATGTTCACATCGTAAAACATTAACACCACCAACATCTGACTCTCCTAAAATTTCCAGGAAATGTGAATATTGACAGCATAGAACAACAACACCAATAATATCTGAATGTCCTAATATTTTCAGGTAAATTTTCCAGATAATGTGAATGTTCACAGCCTAGCCCAAAAGCACCAACAATATCTGATTGAACTAAAACTTTCAGGCAATGTGAATGTTCACATCGTAGAACATTAACACCGCCGACATCTGACTCTCCTAAAATTTCCAGCAAATGTGAATGTTGACAGCATAGAACAACAACACCAATAATATCTGAATTCTTAAAATTTTCAGGCAAATTTTTCAGTCAATGTGAATGTTCACAGCCTAGAGCAAAAGCACAAATAATATCTGATCGAACTAAAACTTTCAGGCGATGTGAATGTTCACATCGTAGAACATTAACATCGCCGACATCTGACTCTCCTAAAATTTCCAGCAAATGTGAATGTTGACAGCATAGAACAACAACACGAATACTATTTGAATGTCCTAAATTTTTCAGGCAAATTTCCAGACAATGTGAATGTTCATGTGACGCCCCAAATTTTTTTTTTTTTTTGGACATCATAATAAGATTTAGGACTTAAAATCAATGTTGCCATCAAACATCACTAATATCCATTAATTAACAACCCACAAATTTCAAGGTTTTCAAATTACAATTCTAATAGAACTTAAAACTTAGTCTCGGTACACAAAAAGAAGTTTAAAACCACTGCAAAAGAAAAGATAGAGAAATATAGGAAATGGTTTGTGGAATTTGGGGACTCTTCAAGCTAACCAAGGCTGAACGTCACCTTGCACGGCCTCGGCGTTTCCTTCGTTTTCTTCGGTACCTGGCATAAAACGCCAGGGCAACGAGAATGCCAATGAGCGACGAGCTCAGTAATATACTACATCTCGAAAATACCCACCCCGATAATAATACTCATAAATAATAAATATCGTATAATAACAGAATAGTAAGCAACATTTAGTAAGCATAACAGACATGCTAATAGTTGAATTAATAACAATAGATAAATAAATAAAGATGACAAATGGAAATAGTGATTCATCATAAGGAAAATGCATGCTTTTCTTTCTAATTTCTCTTAGATTCAGTTAATCAGGTAAATTTAAGTAACTCCCCGCGGAGCACTATTTCCACTCAACCGCTAAGCAATGGCCACGGGCAATTCTGACTCCCCCTTGGTCAAATATTCAAATGTTACTTACTGTAACTACCTATGATGCCCACGCACCAGGGTTACGTACCCGAGTCGTGACATCACGGTCTGCCCCAAGGGAACGG